TCAAGTTCATCAATAGAAGGAACCTCTTATGTGGTTGTAGCAACCTCTGCATCACCACCAGCAACAGTTTCAACTTCTTGAACATCAACAGGGTTCTCCTCAGCATTTTCTTCTTGTGCGCCAGCCATTGCAACAACGATTTCATCTTCATTTGCGGTTTCCATGGGCGCAACTTCATTTAGATCGATCCCGTGCACAACATCATGTTTCGCTACATGACCTTCAAGTCCTTCAGAAGTACGATGATCTTCAGCAGGTGAGGACAACGATTCCCTCATCATGGTTCTTCCATCACATGTTCATGAACAGTTTTAAGAACAGGGGAAAAGCGTTCAAGCAACTTCTTCCCTTTCTTTGTAGTTCCAACTTTCCTCTTTGAAACATATTTCGGCTTAACATCCTTGACAACTCCACCAGAATGAGTTTTCACCATGGTTGGAGATTTTGAGAGAAAATTTCTTCACGAGTCGAAATTAGAATTTGGAGAAAGAGGATGAGTGATGTATGTGCACTTTGATCCGAAGATATAGATGTAGGGGAATCAAAAACCCTTCACACACCACCTTCATTAATTCCCATCAATCCAGGCGCGTGGGATGTCAGAGCGACGTTTCAACGTTGGGACACTGCCCAAAGCAGCAGACTCTGCAACCTAAAAAGCCTATAAATTTCCCTTCCAATAATATTACGCCACGTATTTCTCCTTTCCTTATATTTATCCAATATTCCAAAATATATCCAAATAAAATCCCATGTATATTGGATTTAAAACCTTCAATAATCCGAATTCGTTAAGGTATGAACACATACCTAATTCTCTTCTCAATTTCTCAAAACTTTATGAATCCAATGCTTTGGTAAAGATGTTTCCTTTTGAAAACTTGTTCCAATGTGCTGCAATTTGCACACTTCAGCTTCCACAAGCGCTCGGATAAAATGATATCGAATTTCTATGTGCTTCGTTCGACCATATTGAACTGGATTTTTTGAGATGTTGTTGATGCAATTTTTCATCCGCGAAGTGAGCAGCCGGAATAACCTCGGCTTCATAATAATAGGCTCACTGCATCTATTTAATTGAGCAGCCAGAATAACCTAGGCCCCGTAATAACAAGCTCACTAGACTATCATCAATAAATAGCCAGAAAATCCTCGGCTCAAAGAAGGACCTGATAAACCCATAATAATATAACGGTCATCCGGTCACTTCTATATACCCACCATACGACTCCCACAATCAATACATGGATAGCCGAACGTTGTCGCCATTAACCACAAGACGCCCCATAGTCTGTGATAGCGAAGATAGGACCCCCACTAACTAGCCCTATCCTGTGTAATATAGTAGAATCCGTGCAACCTGGAATCACCCAAGGGAATCCGAAAACTCTACTCCTCGCGCGCCATAACGGGATCACGTTTGGAGTTTGGCATATGATCCTAAACTACCGGTAGACCTCACCAGTGGCCAGCCCAATGACTGGAACAACACCTAACACGAATGATTAGACCAAATACGTCTCAACTACCATGGGTCTAATCCCTGAATGACCGTGCGACTAAGTCACCCAGTTGTCCGACTACTAGCGTCCACTATCGCCAAAGTGTTATGGTACATCGGGGTCGAATATCCTAACCCCAGATGATGCCCTCGCTTAGCACTACTGCACACGATGAGTCGACGACTAAATGATAGATCCATAAAATATAACCGATAAACCGTGCAATATGTGTGCAACATGTCAAAGAAGTGAATTTATCGAAAAGAGCTGGTGAGACAGCTCCACCTTAACTTTAATTCAAAACAACTGAATACTAAATAAAAACTGACTGTGGAACAATGCATATTGAATACTGTAGTATAACATAAACCTTAACTGTATTTGAACATTACTAATTAGTTCTCACTAGATCGAAATATGAATATATGGTTCCACTCTCATTCGAGCAACATGCTCACTATAGAACTTATGTGGAAATCCCTTAGTAATTAAGCAGACCCGTAATCATGAAAGCTGTATGAATATATTCAATAGTTAATACATAATATGATGCCACACTATTAAGTAAATAGTGATTATTATTATCAAATAAGTTACTAGTTTCAACTAATTTTGAATTTTGGAAGAGAATAAAACTTTATATCTTAATGAACAATAATCATCGAAATTGTCCAAAACATAAATTGAAATTAAATTTTGACTCGAAATGGTACAAAAAAAAAAAAAAGAAAAATTCTCATCCAAATCCAAACAATAACTAGTACTCAATAATAATGTATAATTTTCAATGACTTCAACTAATATTTTCTTGTCATCACTCATATAGATATATTTTTCACCATCAATTGATTTTCGGCAATTGAAATAATCTTGCATAGACACACTGATGTGAGTTGTTACACCAAAATTCACCCCCTGGTGTGTCTATGAACTGAAATTAAACTAAATTCATAACAACCCAAAGTAAGAAAAGTGTCTTTCATCACACATCATTCGTGATACTCAACACAATTCTTCTCTCAAGTCCAGTCTTCTTACAAAAGAAACAAGTCTTCTGCTCAGGACGAGCATGATGAGCTGGAGATGGAAGTAAGATCAAGACCAATAAGACCAAAATATCCTTCAAAAGATCTAACTTAAATGCCTCGATTTCAACAACAATATTGACCATATTTATGATGCACTCTCTTATGTTACATTTGTCGTTATACCACATGAAAATGAGACCCTTAAGAAGAGTACTCATTTATGTCTTATCGCCTTTGGTAAAACGTTTCTTAATTTGGACAAGAAATCCCTTGGCAATAGTGATATTATCGAATATTGTACTCTAAAAAATTTATAGAGTGTTTTTCTCAATGATCATCAAACTTAGGCGTTGGACATATCCCACTTCTCCAACAACTGTTTTTCATCTACAATATTTTTCGCCGTATAAATGGGTTGGTCTATTCTTAATGTTAAGTCAAGATTCATGCAGCCCAAATGAATCAATATTGATTCTTTCCAGTGCCTAAATTTGTTCCCAGGCTGTGTTGAGACCAAATAAATATACACATAAACATTCATGAATTATAATGAAGTTTAAGAATAACGCATTCTCATCCCAAGACACTAAGTGCAACATCAATTATCAATATTTGGATAAATAACATTGCTTACTAGCAATCATCTTGTTGCACTAATCATATACGGATAATATGTAATGTCAAATAGTAAACCATTTTTTGGACTGGTTCACTATTCACATAAGATAAAATCATATAATCATCTCATACATATTATCGCAGATGTATATTTCATTCTGTCAATTACCAACTGTCTTTGGGCCGAAGAATAATCACATGAATTAAAATACACATAAACACTTACGTTATCAAGAAAAAATCTCATATAAAGAGGAGTTACTTTGGCAACTTCAAATATTTAATTTTCACCGTCAAAACGCAGCAAGCATTATTAATAAATTTTCAATTTTCTTAAACCAAATTAGAATCATAATTACGTTCAATGCATACAAGTCTATTCCATAAAAATAAAGAATATGTATAAGCGACTGAATGCACATGTCTATAAGCAACTGAATGTTCCGTATGTGAATTTGTAAAATAAATTTGCAATTAAATCATGAGTTATCATACAACATCAGCAATTGTCTTTAAACAAATTACTTACTCGCCAATGATAAACTTGTTTTGACAATCGAATATTGACAATAAAATAGTGTTTTGAACAATACTCCGTCTTTGAAAAAATCTATTATTTACACACAAATAGCTAAATTACTATCACTATATTCATTGTCCCTAAGCATGTATGTAACTACTTAATTGTTGATTTGTCTTTGGGTCAATCAACAATCTTATAAGCCACACACACAACCTTCTAATATATAAAATAAACTGATTTACACAACATATGTTGCTTTGGCAACATAACTGTTTAAATCAATTCATAAAATATATTATATTTATTATTGCTAATTAAATTCACCTTAAAATAAATATGTATGTCTAATATATATGAAAGTCATAGTAGTAGCAATTAATTTATGGACTTATTAAAATAATTAAGTAGTCCAAGAAGACAATATATATATATATGCAATAGAATTACACATACAAAAATATGTCACCCAAAGTTATAGTCAAATTTGAACAAATGCATACGATAAAAAATACATACTATTGTATTCCAAATTGAATTGGATCTCAAAACGGAATATAGGGAATTTGATTTCTGTTTACAAAATCAGCCGTCACTACCAAAAAAACTGTTTTCTATTACGGCCGGAAAATCGTAACAAAAAGCCATATTTCGTGCAATTTGCGTATTTGCTACGCCTTTGTTACGACTTTTTTCCGTAATGTGTACTCGCGTAACGAATGTTTTTTGCCACGCCACTTTTCGTAACTATTACGATCGGTCAACGCTCCCTGAAGTATGGTATTTGTTACGATGTTTGTTACGAATTTTCTCTCGTAACGAAAGGTAGATCCTTCCGCGCGTGTGGCAGGACTTTTAGTTACGGTATTTGTTACGGAAGTTCCTCGCGTTACAAGTGTTTTCCATTGACCGGTTGTCAGAACTTGGTTTTTGTTACGACTATTTGTAACGGCATTGAACCCCGTAAAAAAAATATTACCTACTTATAGTCACGAAACCGTCTGTAACAACAAATATCCAAAGACCACTTTTTGTAACGATTTTCTGGCCTTTTGTTACGGAAAAATAGCGTATTGTGAAAAACAGGGGGTACGCTGCAATTGAAATTGTTCGTAACAAATGGACCTGCTGTGATGCGTATGATACGAAAATAAATTACGAATACAAAGATTGCTATAAACATCATCATCATTACGCCCCGCGCAAACATTAATTCATATTAAAATCTGAATTCCATACCTACCAACAAAGTAAAGCAACCCATAGAACAAGCCTACCAGTATCTACACATCAACAACCTGTTCCGCAAAACGTGCTTAACAGTTCAAACACAAGTAAACAACGCAATAAGCAAATACGGTTATCCATCAATCCCATTAGGCACATTTTTCACCATACGAATTCAAACCACAAAGGTCTACGCATCAATTCCAGACATAGTTCAACAAAAACTCAACACAATCCATCCAAAGACAGGTTCGACATTCAATCCATATGACAAACGGGGCAATTAACATGGGTGTATCGGTACCAACATTTCAAGCCCGGCGCATGAGCTGCAATTGCCAACACAGAGATTACTTTAAGTCATACTTCTTATAAATTTCGGAAGGCAATACAAGAAAGGTATTAAAGTAGATCCTTACGTCCTTGTAGCTCCACTCAATAGGATCTTCGCCGACGACATCGCGAAGGGTAGTCGCCCCAGAAATGGTCGGCAAAATAAGGGGTGTGTCCGGGACTGACGCGGATGTCACGAAGACCTTGACCAAGGAAAGTGTGTCACCTACAGCATTCACAAGAGCAATTTTTGATTACATTCAAGCATATATATCAACAGACGTTCGAACTGTATATATAACATGTCATAACACAGACATTATAAGTGTAATACTTTGGAACTAGAACAAGAGGAGTACGTACATTCAGACATGTCGTACAGTACATGGTATTACATTCATGAGTTAGGTAGCGAAGCACATTATACCCTAATTTCCTATGTAATTGCAGCTTGATCTTTAAACCAAACATCCTTCAATAAACATGGGTCGTCATAATAGCAGTTATTTTACCACCCCTACATTAACAGTCTACATCGCTTTGGAAATCCACGGATCGTATCATTGTATACTTCTACACTTAGTGAATCCATGCTAATACGCAATATGAGGCCTGAACAGTCACGAAAACCTACGATATCTCGCTGAGGCATATTAAAAGTTTAATTAAACATCCTCAAAGATACCGGACCAACCTGGCCCAGGGGGGCAGAGCAGAAGTCCCTCTGCAACAACTTTTTTCTCACCGGTGCGGGATAATAGAAGCACATGTGTGCCGACCTACAACAGACAGGGCATATGAGTTGGATAAGGTAGTACGCAGTCAAGAGTAGCCTAAATTAGACACTGCACTGATTTCTAAGAAACTCCAGGGCGTCACGGAATCATACCGTCATGCTTGGCTCGGACACAGGCCTGGGAATCTCAGGGACTGAATCAATACGAGATGTGCCCTATCATATAACATGCCGGGGATGGTAAATTCCTTCGCCATCCAAATCTCATGGGATACTCATACCAAACAGGTCAGGGATTATGAATACTTACTGCCTGGCCAGTAACCGCTCCGGAGTTTCTGTGCATGAATGCATACACATCAGCCTTGATGGTTTTGAACTCATCCATCATTGCCTTCAGCTCCTCCATTCCATTCTATAGTTGTTCCCACCCATGCTGGAATGCTACACTGTCTGTTAAACCAGTTGACTCGCTGCGGGGATGAGCTGAACTTGCCGCACTGTCGACCTTTGACCGCTTCTTAATCTTTCCCCCAAGGGCCCGTCGGTACAGAGTCTCCCGAACAGAGGGAGTCCGCCCTTCAGGGGGAACCTTGTTTAGCTCATTCTGTAAATAAGTCTACAGGAAAGATTTAAGTGAGGCCGAACTTGCTCTTGTTGTTAGAGATGTAAATACTGACTGAATTGTAACTAAGTTGGGAACGAATTTATTCTACCAATATCTCCTCGGTTTCTTGGTCATCCTTTCCCTTGCCTTGTGTGCGACTGGAAATCCAAATCTCCAGATTGTCGGGGTCCTTCCCCTTTGCCTTGATCTGCAGCAATACAAGGCCTTCTGTCATCGAAAACATAATGAAATACAGGAGAGGAAAATATGGGGATGGAGCATGACATGACTAATTACTTAATTGTAATAAAAGGTACCTCCTCTGCCAGAGTCGTGAATGACTTCCGCCCAGTACGATGTGGAAAGCTTCTTTTCGCTACGTTCGACGCATTTTTCTTGGATTGAAGCTACGTCAATCAAAGTTATTTAGTTCTCAGTCCATGCCCGTGCAGATTTAACGTATATTAATTTGGCATGTCCCTATGCGTACCTTCACCTTCTCGTCGCGCCAATACTCAACCAACTTCGGCCACTGATCGGGCACAATCCTGCTTGAGGGAACCTTCTTCAGTGCTTCTTCATCGTCCTCGATCGGATTGAAGTAAGTTGATTTGATGCTGTATTTCCAGTGCCTCCAAACTTCCCTTAGGTCAGCCAAGACCACTTTCTCCGCTGAGTCTGGTAATCCGCTGTTACTCTGGAATGCCGTTTCACACGGTTTCCACCAGGTCCGGAGAAGATGGTAGGGCCATATATAAGAATCTATATGAAATAAAAGAACTTTCAATTTAATGAAGTTTGCATCACCTGAACCTTCATCCATGCACCCTGTCTCTTCGTCTCCGGTATCTCAGCGAACGTGGGGTAATGTAGAGGAAGTCGAGCTCCGTTGCGTGCAATGACCCCAATGGCTGTCTTGTACTCGTTTACGTCGGGTCCGACGATGCTTTTACCATCCGGCGATGTGCATACAAGCATCCTGTGATCTTTTCCCCATCCACGCGGCATTCGTGCCGCCCCTCTCCCCTGCTTTTTCTTTGACGAACCAGCTGACACAAACAGGAGATTACATGTTCTAATAAGGATATTACATGCAAAATATGAAGTCACTAAATGTAATCGGTAATCTTTGAAGGCTAATTTCCAAACCGTCGTGCGATGTCATCTCGTCCAATGGTGCCATATTGCCCGCCTCTGTTCCTGTCATCAGAGTGGGGTCGGAGCCTGGCCCTTCATCCAAGAGTGGCATATCACTCTCTGCAGTCTCCATGTCCTGCGTCGGCGGAAGTGTCTCGTCATCTGCTTGTGTGGGGGGGATTGTATCATCGTCATCCTGTGTCAGTGCCGTCGGATCAAAAAGTGATGGAACATCCCTATCATCATGTTCCTGTTGGGGTTAACAGTGTCAGCCTATTGTAGTGTTATACTGAGAGTTCAAATAAGGACATGCTTTCGGCAAAGGAACCACATTACCTCCAAAGGGCCCTCTGAATCCTGAAGCACTGCCCTTCGAGTGGAAGATGTTGGCTTCATGCTTTGACCACGAGCATCGCGCTCTTTCTCCCACTCTGATGTGATGGACCGGAGTCGCTGGAGCAGTGGCGAGACCCGAGATCCCTTCCGTTTTGTCACTTTCTTTGTGGGATTGCGGATGGGCGATGGATTCCTGCTTGCGGGATGAGTTGCCTCTAGGGGGTTGTTACGTGCGGATGCCCGGGTAAAACGTCTTGCGGGAGAGACTGCCGGATCCTGTGACCCTCCAACGGCAGTACGTTGAGATTTGCCCATAACCTGCAAGACACCAGTGTTAGTTGGCAGTATGAAAACGTATATTAGGAGAAAATCAAAACACACTTATCACAACAAAGCTTATGAAGTGACATATTACGAGAAATTCACATAATAGTTACTGCAATTAATCAGGGTAAATTGCTTCAGCATACGCAAACGGGGGTAAAGAGCTTATCCGCGTTGACATATTCGGAAAAAATCATAACATCCTGCGCGCGCATAATGGATGCAAAGTGCTTCAGCAAATCAAGCGAAAACAGGGCCTATGAACGATGGCATGCATGTCCGAAAGTGGTTACCTATTACGTACTTCAATCACCGACCCCCCCTCCCCACATAGATGACCATCTGTTGAGATGTGTAATTTATTCGCTCCAGTTCACGAACTGTGTTATGAGCTGAGCACATCGAATTGAAGAAGTTACAAAGTTCAATCAACACGAGCACAACATTTTTGGGAAGATGCCTACAGGAAGTGTTGAATCAGCACCTTCAGTTATATTTAGAGGAGGCATATATCATGTTAATTAAAATAATTGCGTTTCAAGGGTATACCGTCGGGCAGCAATAGGTAGAATTCGTTGCATAAGAACATGGCAATCGTGGCTCTTAAGTCCCCATATTAGTTGTTGTTCTACCTTCACACGACACGATAAGTTTGAACTGAACCCATGAGGTGGTCGGAGGTCCTTCAACACAGATAGGAATATCCGTTTTTCGGGGTTACTCATGGTGTACGTAGCTGCCGGCAAATATATAGCGCCCCTAGGACCCGATACCGGGTGTAAAGAACTACGTATTTGCATCAACTGTAAGTCTTTCCTCGTGTTCAGATTGTCCTTTGTTTTCCCCTTAGTTCCCAACAATGTATACAGTACATTCTCACACACATTCTTTTCAATGTGCATCAAGTCGAGGTTGTGACGTACCTCATTCTCAGACCAATAAGGGAGCTGAAAGAATATGCTCTTTTTTTTCCACACCTGTTGCTGCCCGTCCACCCCCCGGCGACGCTTGCGAGACCCCTGTGCAATGCGTTTCTCAATCAAGTCAACCGTACGATACTCAGTAGGCATATCCTGAAGCTGCTGCAGAAGTTCAGCGCCGGTCAAGCGAGAAGGCTTTCCGTCAAAGCTCATCGAACCGTCAAATGCATGTTTATCAAAGCGCATTCTATGCCCAGCCGGCAGGAACCGTCGATGCCCGCAATAGCTATACTTATGTCCATTTTTCAGGTATCTGGAATGAGTTTTTAAACCACAAACAGGGCATGCATTCGCCCCACGAGTCGGCCACCCTGACAACATACCGTAACCGGGAAAATCACTAATAGTCCACAGCAATGCAGCTCGCATCTGGAAATCCTCCTTAGTACTCGCATCGTACGTCCGAACACCATCATACCAAAGCTCCTTAAGCTCATCGATCAAAGGTTGAAGGAAGACATCAATCCGATCCCCCGGGCCATGCGGGCCGTCTATAATCGTAGAGAGGATGAACGATGGTTGCTTCATGCACAGCCACGGAGGTAGGTTATATATCACAAGTACGACGGGCCAAATACTATAACTCACACTCATATTCCCAAAAGGGTTGAAACCGTCAGTGGCCAGACCGAGGCGTACGTTGCGAATCTCCTCAGAGAACGTCGGGTACCGATGATCGAAACTCTTCCACGCAGGACTATCTGCTGGATGACGCATCTTGCCATCGTCTACACGCCCTTCGGCATGCCATCTCATAGAAGATGCAGTTTTGGAAGATACGTACCATCGCTGCAATCGCGGAATTAATGGAAAGTACCTTAACTTCTTCACTGGAGATCTATCTTTACCCTGTGTAAATCGCTTTTCCCCACACACAACACAAACCTCACGGTCAACATCTTCCCCAGTAAACAACATGCAATTGTTGATGCACGCATGGATAGTCTTGCATGTGAACCCCAAGTCCTTGGTCAGCTTATTAGCCTCATAGAAGTTCTTCGGAAGGACAACATCGTCTGGAAGTGCATCCCGTAACAGCTCTAACAGCAAATCAATAGAATTATTAGACCAGTGGCACAAAACCTTCAAGTGCAAAAGCCGTGCGATAAACGAGAGTCTACTCATCTTCTTGCACCCTGGTATGAGCTCTTTCTCTACATCTTCTAACATCTTTCTATACCCCTTACTGCCATGATGTATATGTTCATTTTCGTCATCCCTATGAGGTTCATTTCCACTGGGCCCCGGATCGGTGTGCTCTGTATATGCACACTCTCGCAATAGAAGTTCTAGTTCCTCCTCCCAACGCATTGGCATATTGTCGTTTGCAACAGCATGGTTCACCTCTCCTTCTCCGTGGCAAGTCCAAACCTTGTAGGTTTGGTCGAATCCATAACGAATACAATGGAGCAAGACATCTCTACGAGATTTTGTTAAGCGATTTCCGCAAGATGTACAGGGGCAATAGATGCAAGATTCAGAGCTACGATCTTTAAATGCGAAATCTAAGAAAGCCCTGACCCCGTCCAAATATTGAGCGGAGATATGGTTCGCATCGTCTATCCAACTCCTATCCATCTAGCAATATAATATACATGCGATTCCATCAACAAAACATGCAACCAAAAACATATAAGTACAACATAACCTTCACCGATATAATAGGAAACATGGATGCTCTTCATGACGCTAGCATTATAATTTATCACAACATTAAGGCACATGGACCAAAATCAGCAGCCCTCACCACTTAAAAATCTTCCATAGATGCAATGTAAATAGTATTATATGGATATATTTCCCGTCACAAATGCTGGGCCGTCACAAATAGACACATCAGCAGCAAGAGAGAGTGAGAAAGAAGTGAAAAAGTTTCTGACATTGACAAGACATGGGGAGCATGGGGGTGACATCCGTGTGTATGCTGCAACCACTATATCTATCTATCTATCTATCTATATGGGACTGGAAGATGGAGATTGAGATGGAAGACGTGTACTATAAGAATTTTGAGATAGATATACATATATATATATAGAGGTACAGAAATGGCTCTCTACCCCAATTAGAGGGATACAAATAGGAATAGTACACAGCACCAAAGCCACAAGATTCACTGTATCTGTTTCCACCAAAACTGCATTTGCATCATCTTCTTCTCACATTACTACTCTCGCCCTCATCCTTTACTCTCTACTCTCTACTCCCTACTCTCAATGCAAAGTGTAAATAAGCCCTGGATTTTATCCTTAATTTATAGAAATGCTATAATGAATATATGTATGGGTGACTGTATGTGTATACGCATACTACAAATGCAGGATAACGAAATCTGATATTAAATTACCTACGATCAGAAAACTGAACTGCAATTCAAGAAGCATGCAACTTGAGGTATTTCGCAATTCATAAATCTTGTTAAATGCTTCCCAACAGCCGAATTAAGTTTCCTGACGTAATGTGTTACTTTGTATTCTGAACAAATTAGCAAGAGGATTGAGCTAATATGTTTTAATCTAACATTTAAGCTACCAGAACAAAGAAATACCTCATAAATTTAACATACAGTAAAGCATTGCACTTGGTGTTTAACTATAAATTAAAGATAAATATCAAAAAAATAAATTCAACCAAAAAAACTCTCCTTCTGGACAAAGGAATACAAATTCACCTCAAATGTAACACACGATAAAGCCCAAACAAATGGAGTTAAAATGTAAGACTATATCCATACCGAGAAAGAGGCGAAGAACTTTGGAGTAATACCAAATCTTTCGGGAGAAAACTTAAAAACCTTACCTAGATGCCGGAGTAGATCCCTCGTTTCCGTTGATTTCACAATGCTCGTCGTCCTGCAGGTTCAGAGGAAGGAAACTCGATCGAGTTTTCTACAAGGGAGAAATGAGATTATGCCCTAATTTGTCGAAGATACCTCGCGTAATACAAAATCTTTTTCGAGCTACCTTCAAAACCTTACCTGGGTGAGGTGCGCCGGAGTAGATCCCAGGGACGGATCGATTTCACCTCGCGCGTCGTCGTCGGCAGCTACAGGAAATCGGATCGCGGGCGACTGTGAGAAGCGAACGAGGGAAATGAACCAGATGCCCTAATTTGTCTAAGTGTGGGATGATATAGCGTTTTTGTCCATTTTGATCGTTTCTGGAATGAAAGCGTCAATCCAGTATTTTACTTTTTTTTTTTTTTTTTTTTAATTTAACTTTTCCAAAAATAAAAAATTAAATACCAGTAGTTACGAACACTTTACGTAACTAATGTTATTTTGACCAAATTCTACCATCTCATTATTTGTTACGATATTTTTTGCGTAACGACAGAACCTAAAACGTTGACCGGGTTTTTTTTTTTTTCGTCACGGATTTTGTCGTAACTAATATATCTATTTGTTACGATTTTATTGTTACGGACTCTCAACCCGTGGTGAATATCCCTTTTTTTGGTAGTGCGTAAGAAATAAATACATAAATATAGCATGATATACCAAACCGTCTCAACGTTTGATCTCATTTATGCCATCAATATATATTTATATATATGTATATATATATATATATTCACATATCTGAAGTTCTAATCGAATCATTTATTGTTCCGATAAAATAATCAAATTGAGAAGAAAACTAACATAATAATCGTAATAAATGACCGGTAGATTAAATAATTACAAACTCCACGAATGATTCTAGAAAATTAATAAATAATGGTCAATTAATCGCAAATGTAAACAAATATTCAGATGAAATCTAACTTCATTTGCAAGCACATATACTTATGATTTGCGTGTATATATACATATATATATATTCACACATATTATTCCAATCGAAGAATTTCCATGAAATAATAAATTAAATTTACAATTAAATAATTTATTTAATTATCAATAAAGTGCCATATAAAGAACAAATAATGAAGAGATCTTGTTCCACTTGATCTACTCAAAATTAATACCAGCTAGTTTGTTGACCCGTGCGTTGCACGGATTTTATAAATTATTAAATTTATATCATATAAATAATTTATTATAATGAAAAATATCAAAAAATAAAAATATATTTCGAATCAATTAATCATTACTACAAAATATTATATAAATACGTTCTCTTTGATTTATTTATTTATTTTTTTTTACGAATAAATAATCGGTAGTTTAAATATATGAACATATTCTATTAACTATTGAATGTACTCCCATTATATAATTTATTTCATTCATCGATGTTGTAAAATATACTACGGAACGTACTTGGAATAATAATATTGTCATCATTGACATCAATATTTATTTAAGTAGCTATATATTTTAAATAAAATTATTTACTTTTCGTAGAATAAAGATAATCAAATTGTGTTAAAATATTTTTATATTTTATATTTATATTTTTTTATTAAGTAATCCATTTTTATATAATTATATTGAATTTAAATTTATATTATCATCTACTATTATTTATTTTAATTATTATTCCATAATTTACGTCAATTGAATTTATTAGTTGATTTAGCATAATTTATTAAATGTATATAACATCCAATATCTTTTAACTAATAATTTTTATGTAATTAAATTTATAATATTTTTAATTAAGCAATTATTATATATATAATTATATTTAACTTAATATTATATTATTATATACTATTTAAGTCGATTATTATATCATAATTATATTTTTAAAATTATAAAAAGAAAATTTGAATAAACTTATTCATATATAATTCAAAAAATATAAATAAATTTATATATATATATACACGATTGATTGCTATGAAATATTTTGATAATTCTTCTAACTCGGTGGAAAAATTGATAAATAATAAAAAAAAATCATAATTTGCACAAATATAAGAACTTAAGATTGTAATTTTTTTAATCGAGATTCTTTCAATACAACAACAGTCTACAAATAATACATTTAAAGAGAAATAAATAAAATTAATATGAAATTGAAATCTATAAATTTATATATATATATATCTAAAACATATGTTCATGTTCGAAAGCAATTACAAAATCAAACAAATCTATTAATGATAATACCATAAATACCATAATCGACAAAAAAAACTATTATAAATAAAAATATAAGATCATGTATATTTTACATAAAATGGAATTTTAGAATATATAATTATTGTTAATAAAAAATTAACATCTTAGTATCAATCTAATACCACAAAATGTACGTAACAAATATCATCTGTGATATCTCCAATTTGTGGCGCATTGATCCCAAATGTATAGTAACTTATCGTCTCCAAATTATATGATATTCCAATATTCTAGAACTTAGACAAACTAAAAGGGGAACAACAGAGCTGTATTGCAAGAAGTGAGAATTGCCGGAATATCAACCGGAGACTCGCCGGAAATAATGCCGAAAAAGGAGAAAAAAATAATAAAGGAATATGAGGGAGAAAAAATATTCATGGTGCGTATAAAATGGGTGGCTAGAAATCTTTTTTTATAGGCATTGAAATGAGAATTGTCATCAAATTCGTTGTTAATATCGACGTTAATTAGACGTAATCATATATTTAATATTCATTAACCTCTTTCCATAAATATTAAAATTTATTTCATTCATAATTATTAAAATTTATATATATTTATGATAAATTTTATTATTTAATTGTAACAAATTTTATTATTTATTAAATAGATTTTTTTAATTAAAACATGTTATTTAATTTTAAAATGAAAAAAGTACTATTATACTATAGATTTAATAATTATATCAAATTTTTTATTTTTTAAGAATATTTATTAATTTATTAAATAAATTAAAAATATAAAATAGACTGATATGACAAATATATAATTTTTATAAGTATTTTAACTTTTAAATTTTAGTAAATATATTTATTAATTATGATTGCATTAATTATATCGACTATAATTATATAATGTTAATGGTAATATATTAATTATAGAAATTAATATAATAATAATTATTATATTTTGTATTTAATTGTAATAATTAAAAATTTATTCAAATAATATTGCAAAATTAACATTTCAATTATATTTTATGTAAAATATATTACTTCTCCCGTCTCATAATAAACTATCCATTTTTTTTATTTTAGTCCGTCTCATAACAAAGTATCTATTTCCTTTTTAATAACTGTACTATCTACCTAACATTACAAATACCATTACAACTTACAATATATTATAAAAATTTCATTACATTTATCGGAGGAGATCCGGTGCTCATTAAAATTAATTTACATGATTATAATAATAATAAAATTTAATTATATAAAATAAAATAATTAAGCTTAATGCGTTAAGCATTCATGCTGAACAATTTGATTGAGCATCTGATCTCACTTCTACATTTATATCATATAATACTAATAAGATTATTTTAGTTATTTCTACTTTATTCCTACTACATCCCAATATAATACTAATATTTCTAAAACTATGAGCAAAAAGCAAATGGATACCTAATTATGGAACCAAAGAAATATTAATAATTAATTTTATTTAAAAATATTAAAATAAAAATGTTTGAAATATCAAAATTCTCTGAAATTATCTAGTTAATATA